AGGAGTCCACCCACTCCTCCTGTATGGATTCAGCTCAGGTGCCCCGATAGATAGCCACCAAGTGTGTGGTGTAGGCTCTCACTTACAGTCCTAGACAGGCATGGGTGATTGGTGTAGGCACAGGCATCTGACTGCAGCAGGGGGCTGATGGCTCCGAGCAAGGCAGGGGGCTGATGGCCGCCCCCGAGTGTCCTCAAGGAAGGCATATCCCTGTTCCCTAGAGTGTGTAGGTGGGTGGGTTTTGCAGCCTGACTAAGAGCACCTAATGCTGTTCGCTATAAGGACTGGTGGGCACAACTTATTCATGGGCCCCTATCGCAGGTGGCTAGGTGGCATGCGTGGAACCACCAGTCCTCAGGCCCTTGATGTGGGTAGGTGAAGACCCTGTCTAATGGGCAGAGCAGTGTCAAATGTCAAGACCCTGCCACTTCACAGCTGAAACAGTTGAGGTTAGAGTTCCGGTATATACCCTGTTGTACTGTGGTAATGAGGGCCTACACTGTTGAGATGGGCCCACACAAGTCTGTTTAGGGGGAAAGGCACTCAAAGTCCGTGGACCCCTTATGCCTGTGCCTAGGCATAGGAGCTGTGCCTACCCTGGATTCCTGGCTTAGGGGAGCTGGTAGTTTATTTTTTCCCCTGTTTGTTAATTTGTTCACTCTCCAAGGCAGGGAGAATGGCTCAGGGCATGTGACAGATCCTACTTCCGGCCCAGGGGACTCAGCAATTGCTAAAGCTGGTCCTTGACCCAGAGCAGAGCAGGGGGTGGGGAGGTAAACGGGAAAGAGGTTTTTCCCTAAGGGAGGTGTTTTTGATCCACACGGTAAGCCGTACTCAAGTATTTATCTTTCGCCCATGAAGGCTGCTTCCCACTGGTTCTGGGTGGCCGTGTAGGGTCTTTGGTGTTCAGTCTCTCCCAGTGTGGAAAATGTGCCTCCCAAGCACTGCCACTTGCCTCCCTCACCGCTCACCCACGAGCTGCTTAGGCCTGAAGGGCTCAGGCTCTCACCAGGTCAGGTCTGGCAACTCCTCGCTGCTTCCAATCTGTCTGTCCCTCCCCTTGCCACTCAGTCCAGTTCCTCAACTCTGCCTTTGATGTTCAGGGCTCCCAGACTGACATATATAATCAAATCACTTGTTTTTTTTTTTGGGTCTTTGTTGTAAGAGGGTCCACCGGAAGCATCTGAGTAGTCTGCCAGCTTGGCACTGCCTCCTTACTCAAATATTTTTATCAGGGGTGTATAATCAAAAAAAGCCCCCCTGGATGGAACAAATGGTTAAGTTCTGAACTACTAACTAAAAGGTTGGCAGTTTGAACATGCTCAGAGGCACCTTGGAAGAAAGGCCTGGTGATCTCCTTCAGAAAAATCAGCCATTGAAAACCCTATGGAGCACAGTTATACTCTGACACACATAGGATCGCCATGAGTTGGAATCAACTCAACGGCAAGTGTTTCTCCCCCGCCCTTTGTTTTTTTGTAATCAAAAAGTTTGGTGACTCCTGAGAGAACAATTACAAAAGGAAGAGCATACAATTGGCATAACATAGTTTTTAAAGAAAATGTTATACATTCTACTTTGGTGAGTAGCATCTGGGATCTTAAAAGCCTGTGAGCCACCATCTAAGATACTCCACTGGTCTCACCCCTTCGGGAGCAAGGGAGGATGAAAAAAACTAAAGATGCAATGGAAAGATTAGTGCAAAGGACTAATGGACCACAACTACCACGGCCTCCACCAGACTGAGTCTAGTACAACTAGATGGTGCCCAGCTACCACCACTGACTGCTGTGACAGGGATCACAAGAGAGAGTCCTGGACAGATCTGGAGAAAAATGTAGAACAAAATTCTAACTCACAAAAAAAGACCAGACTTACTGGCCTGACAGAGACTGGAGAAACCCCAGGAGTATGGCCCCTGGACACCCTTTTAGCTCAGTAATGAAGTCACTGCTGAGGTTCACCCTTCAGCCAAAGATTAGACATAAACGAGACTAATGGGGCACAGCAGTCCAGGGACAAGGACTAGAGGGCAGGAGGGGACAGGAAAGCTGATAATAGGGAACCCAAGGTTGAGAAGTGTTGACATGTCGTGGGGTTGTTAACCAATGTCATAAAACAATATGTGTACTGTTTAATGAGAAGCTAGTTCAGTAAACCTTCATCTAAAGTAAAATTTTTTAAAAAAAAGGAAGAGCAGATTTGGAGATTGTAGAGAATTTGAGGTCCTTTAGAGCATTAAGAGCGCTGGTGCTCCAGTGGTTAAGTGTTTGACTGTTAACCAAAAGGTCGGCAGTTCGAATGCACCAGCCGCTCCTTGGAAACCCTCTGAGGAAGTTCTACTCTGTCCTGTAGGGTCGCTGTGAGTTGGAAACAACTCATTGGTAACGGGTTTGGGTTTTTTGTTGTTGTTGTTGTTGTTTTTTGGTTTTAGAGCATTCAGGCAGTAATGTCCAGTGAGCAATAAGGGTCTAGACCCGTGCAGGACTGTCTAATAGAATTTTCTGTGATGATGGAAATGTTCTATATATGCACTGTCCGGTATAGTAGCCAGTAGCCACATGTGGTTATTGAGCACTTGAAATGTGGCAAATGCAACTGATGAACTGAAAATTTTCATTTTGTTTAATTTTAACTTATTTAAATTTAAATAGCAACATGTAGCAAATGGCTACCATATTGAAAAGCACAGATCTAAAACTCGGAAGAGAGACCTGGGGTTCTCATTTATTGAGTGCTTCCACTGGCTAAGCATTTTACATACATTATTAAGCAATTTAATCATCCTCACTATCCTATGAAGTTTTTGTTAGGTGCTGTGGAGTCGATTTTCAACTCATAGCAACCCCATGTGACAGAGTAGAACTGCCCCATAGGGTTTTTTAGGCTGTAATTTTTACAGGAGCAGATTGCCAGGTCTTTCTACCACAGCGTGTTTGGGTGGGTTCGAACCACCAATGTTTTGGTTAGCAGCTGAGTGCTTAACTGTTGTGTCACCAGGGCTCCTTCTCTCTGGAGTAGGTGGTATTATGAAAGAAAAGTGTAAGTTCTTACTCTTTACTTTTCATAGTAAAAATTTATATTACAAAGAAAAACATAATTGCTGTGAAATATATGTCCTTTCTAGATATTCTTTTAGTAGATACTTTTGCATCCTTTGCAACCAAGTAACTTATATTTTTCTTTCAGGTGGTTTACTCTGTTAGAGATTCAAATATGTGTTATTTTAATACTTTATAAATATGACTGTAGTCTTCTGGACCCATTACCAAAACAGGTAAGTGTTTTCAGAATTTTAAAGATGATTTTCAAATTTGGTATATATTCTAAACCCATGGTTGGAATTACTAGAGATGACATGACTGATCCTCATTTTGGCCTGATCTTAACAGGTGCCTTAGATTGAACCAGACTGAGAAGATGCTGGGTACCCTTAATTCGAAAATCTAATCTACATGCCTCATTATCACATGGCCAGAGGAGGCTTGGCATCGCAGTGGTGAAGCATTAGGCTGCTAACTGCAAAGTGTTGTTGTATTGTTGTGAGGTGCCGTCAAGTCAATTCCAACTCATAGTGACCCTATACACAACAGAACGAAACACTGCCCGGTCCTGCTCCATCCTCACAATTGTTGTTATGCTTAAGGCCATTGTTGCAGCCACTGTGTCAGTCCATTTCCTTGAGGGTCTTCTTCCTTTTTGCTGACCCTCTACTTTACCAAGCATGATGTCCTTCTCCAGGAACTGGTCCCTCCTGATAACATGTCTAAAGTATGTGAGACATAGTCTCACCATCCTTGCTTCTAAGGAACATTCTGGCTGTACTTCTTCCAAGACAGATTTGTTCGTTCTTTGGCAGTCCATGGTATATTCAATATTCTTCTCCAGCACCACAATTCAAAAACATTGGTTCTTCTTTGGTCTTCCTTATTCATCGTCCAGTTTTCACATGCATATGAGGCCTCTGAGAACACCATGACTTGGGTCAGGAGCACCTTAGTCTTCAAGGTGACATCTTTGCTTTTCAACACTTTAAAGAGGTCTTTTGCAGCAGATTTCCCAATGCAATGTGTCTTTTGATTTCTTGACTGCTGCTTCCATGAGTGTTGATTGTGAACCCTGCTCTGCAGGAGAAAAATGAAATCCTATCGGGCACTTCTGCTCTGTCCTGTACGGTTGCTATGAGTTGGAATAGACTTCGTCACCACTGGGTTTACCACATGGCCAGGATCTAATAGCTGTGTTTCCATCACTTACAGTGTTAGGATGCCCCTCATGAATTTACCAATTTGATCATTTTCCTTGTGTTAAATAAACATGGCTTTGATTATGAGCTTGTTTCCCTAAAAAGACGTCTGTAGGTCCAAAAGTGCACCATTGGTTTTGGATGCCAGTCATAGCCCTTGGTCTCTTTGTAAAGCCATGGCATGAATGAAAATTAACCCAACAGCAAAAAGAGTGAATAAAAATGAAAAGGTCTGGTATGACCATTGACTATTCCAATAATTTAACTGCCCTGTGTCTCTGTATATCTGTTCTCCTAGACTACTGTTGTTGTTAGGTGCCATCTAGTTGATTTCCACTCATAGCAACCCCATGTAACAGAGTAGAACTGCCCCATAGGATTTTCTAGTCTGTAATTTTTACAGAAGCAGATCACCAAGTCTTTATCCCACAGAGCTGCTGGGTAGGTTCAAACTACTAACCTTTCCAGTTGGCAGCCAAGCACTTAACCATTGTGCCACCAGGACTCCTTTCTCCTAGACTAGTAGCTCTCAAACTGGAGCAAGTGTCAGAATCACCTGCAGGGCTTATTAGAACACAGAATGCCAAGCCCACCCCAGAGTTCCTGATCTGTTAGGTCTGAGGTCAGGCTCAATAATTTGCACTTCTAACAAGTTCCAGGTGATGCTGATGCTGCTGATCTAGGGACCGCACTAGGAAATAAGGGAAAGGCCAGTTTAGTTCCACTGTTCAGTAGCCATTTTGAAAACTTTGGATAAAAGGTGCTGTTTAAACTGAGACTGAAGCTCAGTAATTAAGCACTTCAAAGTCAGGGCTACTCGCACAGCATTTTGTGCTTTGATTTACTTTTGATATGGTTAAGACTGATGTGTGGAAGGATAATTAAAACTTTTGGGTGACATTTCAGTGGAAATTATATAAAAGCGTAGGTGAAACAGAAAATCTTATAAATATGCACATTTCAGCACTTTTCCTGGCTGTCTTGTGCACTTGTATTTTGAGTACAAGTAATTATCAGTGATGAAGAGCTCTCAAAATTCTACAATAAAAGCAAAATCAAAACACTCTTTGCAAAGTTTCTTAGCTGAGTAGTTTTGTTGGCAAAATAAAGATTAGGACAAGCTTTACAGACACAGATACCACATACTAGTTCCTGGTCCACTGAGTTAAATGTCACAATTTTGCCCAGGACTGACTCAGCATAGAAATATTGTCCCACCAACAAGAGGGCACCGGAATGCCTTTTCAGATTGAAAGGATATTTGTGAATACAATGTGACACCTATCCTTGGAGACCAGTAATTTTGACCAGTTCCATAGGCAAGATTTATTGCAACAGTTTATTTCTAGCTAAGAATTCTATTAGCTATACCTAATTCATCCTGTTTTACATACATGCTATTTCTGTTTTGATACCCCTATGAACATTTTTTAAAGATTGTTATCTCAGTTTGTAAAAAGTACAAGTATAAGTGAATTCTCATGACCCAGTATTACATTTCACAATGCTTATCCTAGAAATAGAAAGTTTGGTTGTGATTATTTAGTTATTGGACTTGTTTTAATAAAGTGTAAAATAAGGTGGTCAAGAAATGACCTCCAAATGACCAAGCTCTTGTAGGGGACAGGAAGGAGCCTTGGTGGCTTAGGGCGATTGATTGCTAACCGAAAGGTTTGTAGTTCGAGACCACCAGCCTTGGAAACCCCATGGGGGTCTCTATGAATCGGAATTGACTCAGCTGCAGTGGGTTTGTAGGAGACAGGAGGTGATGTGTTGCCAGAGCATGTTCTTGACACTCTGTTGTCAAGGGCAGGTTAATCATTGGTTCCCTGAAGTTAGACTTGGAAACCAGCTCCTCCAAGGGAACTTACCTACTGTAGTACAAAAATCAAATGCTAGAATTTCCAAATATAACTTTCCAACAGTCCAGTGTTTCATTTCAAAGGGTCTTCAGAAATCCCCCAAACTTTTTAGATTAATTTAATTTCAAGTGTCTTCCATTAAGAATGAAACAAAACCAAACAATGATGAGACACTGCAAAGCTTTTGAGAAGCCGTGATTAGGCAGCAAGGCTCTGATGTTGGCAGTGGGGCTGTTCTCCAGTAAGCATTCATAGGCAACCACTTCAGTTCACTTGAAAAAGCAAGCACCCTGTTGCTAACATACTGGTTTGTTTGTTTGTTTGTTTTGTTTTATTCTTTGGGGGGATCATGGATTCTGAGAAATACTTACAAAAATCTATGGTTCCCCTTTCTAGAAAAGTACATATCTGTTCATACACACATAATTGTGGATGCAATTTCAGGGTGTATGTGGAAACTTGCAACTCATTTTATTAACTCCCTGAAGAATCTCCTTGCTAATGAGCCCATTCTGGTTCACCTAAATTGGATCTACCTCATCTTTCCTCACTACTCATCTCCTCCCAACCCCCAAGGTTGACAGGACAAAGCCCTTATATTGCTTTACTTTTTTCAAGTTCCTAAGCCTCAGCTAAAAGCGCCCAGGTGGTACAGTGGTAAACACTCGGCTGCTAACCCACCAGCCTCTCCTCGGGAGAAAGATGTGGCAGTCTGCTTCCATAAAGATTACAGCCTTGGAAACCTATGGGGCAGTTCTACTCTGTCATACAGGGTCGCTAAGAGTCAGAATCGACCCAGGCAGCACACAACAACAACAAGCCTCAACAATTTCTTTGTACTATGTGCAAAAAAACTGATTTCCTTCTCTGCTTCCCCCTCCCGCCCACACACATTCACACCTTGTTTGTAACTGTTGTCATTGTGTGTCATCAAGTCCAGTCCAACTCATAGTGACCCTATAGGACAGAGTAGAACTGCTCCATAGGGTTTCCTAAGCTATAATCTTTATGGGAACAGATCCCAGGTCTTTTCTCCCGAGGAGCAGCTGATGGGTTCAAACCGATGATCTTTCAATTAGCAACCAAGGGCTTAACCATTGTGCCATCAGGGCGCCTTTGTTTGTAACTAGGGAGAAAAAAATCAGAAGAATATTTGGAACCCACAAGATATCCTTTAAGAAAATTATGATCATAGTCAAGTACACTGTAAACAGTGGTTCACACTACCAACACCATGTTGTTTCTTAAACGCTTACAACGTGTGCAATACTGATTTCACCCAGTGATTAACAATGAAGAGTCACTGCTTTTGAGCTAGAATGTAGAAAGAGCTTTGTTTGTGGCGTCCTCTTTAGCCTGAGGAAGTGAAAGGGCCTGTCAGGCCCATAGCTTTGAGGCCTGTGCAACTGTGAAGAGCCTGCTATTATGATAAGGGACTGTCTTCTTTTCTTGTTCTTTGAATGGAAAGCTAAAGCTGACGCTTGACATTGTGAAACTCCTCCATGCAAACATCCCCCCACGTTCCAAACCTAAACTTTGTACCTTTTAGAGAAGATTACAATTGAATAAACCTTAGACTTAAAAACATTGGCTCCTGTCTCTTAATTTCTACATTTTTTTCCCGTTTCTGTTTTTAGAGTTCTCGCCATTTGATGGGTGTCCAGCAACCAGAAAGACAATATCTGGTTGAGTATAAACAAAGAAAATGATGCTTGCTGGGCCTCAGGAGGGCCAGGGCCTCCGGGAGGAGTGACTGCCACTCGTCTACCATATCCGCTAACCTGGCAGCCAGCGCACCTAGACCTGAGCTCTGCTGCAGCATGCCTCTTAACTTTGTCTTAGAATTTAGTTCAAGAAAGTGTTCGAATGGTACATGTGTTTGGTATCTTAAGAGTGGACCAAAGAATCTGACATCACCCTCACTGTTACAGAAACCTGAATACATGGTTTACAGAAAAATGTTTACATGACCAAAAAACAACAATAAAAAAAGGCATTTCTTAAGAAATTAGAATTTGGTTTTCATGTATAACTGGATTAAAGCTTTAAATAAAAATAATATCATTTGAATGAAAATCTTAGTGCATTAAATTCACTGTGAAAGCAGCATACTTAAGTTTCTATTCTGGAAAGAACTGTCTTAAACTCTAAAAAAAATTAAGTAATGATTTCTGGAAATTTTCTATTTTTCTTAATATGATTCCTAACTAGCACTTGGAATTCTTAAATTCTGTTAATGTAATTCTTAATTGTAAACATGTCTAATGCTAAACGTTTGAATAAAATGATAAATTTCTAAGTCCTATGAGGATAAGGATCATGTCTTACGCTCATTTCTACATTCCACTGTACCTGAGACAGCACCTTCTCTGCAGACGATATTCCGTAAATACATGTTGATTAATGTATTGATTTGCATTTGTTGTAGAGAAAACAACTCTCACCAAAGCCTTCTGCAACAAAGAGAATTTTATTGTGACATATCAGGAAACAAAGATGGGAAACTGGCTGCAAGCACTCAGGTTATAAACAGACCCAAATCCAAAGAAGTACAATCTATAAGTGTTTTTGATACAATTTTGACAGGTGCTGATTCATTATGAGTAAATTACTTACGGACTATGATTGGTTAAAGTGAAGACAAAGAACTAAGATCATGACTGGGTGACCTTTTCTTGTTTCTCTTTTCGAACAATTTGTTCTCTTGGCTCAGGAGTCCTCGGTCTGTCATATGATGGTTGTTTTTTATTTGTTGTGTGGACTACGTATGATATTGGGTAGATCTTTAACTCATTTCCTGGGGTGAATTGTTATTTAGTTGTGGTACCCACGTCCACTGTCCATTGACCTGGTTAGAGCACTCTGTCCCACTCCTTTGATGTAGTTACTTATTGTTCTAAGCTTTTCCGAGTCTGACAAACATGTTGGCCTTTTGTGGTCATGGCCTGCTGTGGTTAGGCTAATCCTTTATCACATTTTAATCATGATGAAAGAATCTTTTGACTCAAAGTGTTTGCACTTATAGTTTGACAGAGATAATATTTTGCTAATGCATAGAAACACAAATGTAATTATATGTCAAGGCAAAAACTACATTTTGAATCTATTACTAAAAACTTTAAGACTGAAATATTTACCATGAAATACAGAAAAGAAATCCTCTCATGTTCAAGGGAAACATATGACACTAATAACAGAGTGAACAGTGATGACATGAAATGTCCTGTAATATTCAGTCAAATGCTGCTTGCCTCCTTTATGTCACAATAAGTAAGCTTTGTAGGGCACGTGGTTGTCTGTGGCTTGTTTGCTCCTCTGTGCTCAATTACCCCATGGGGTTGATAATGATTGCTTAGTCATCTATTTCCTACCAAAGAGCAGATAACTCCCTAGGAGAACATTAAGTACTTTGGGGTGCATTAACTCTTCCAGACTAATGTAATGATTTTGAAGCTTAGCTAGAAGCTTGTAGCTTAGCTTAGCAGGCTTAGGGGTCTACAGACTCAAGGGTCTAAAGAAAGCAGTTTAGAAGTCCACAACAGCCCTGAGAGTTGCAGACCACAACCTGGACAAAAACATTGCCACTGAGTTGATTCCAACTCATAGCGACCCTATGGAACAGAGTAGAACTGCCCCATAGTGTTTCCAAGGAGTGGCTGGTGTATTCAAACTGTAGCCTTTTGGTTAGCAGCCGTAGCTCTTAACCACTGCGGCACCAGGGCTCCACAACCTGGCAGGTTCTGCTAAATATAGCAGGTGTGTTCTTAAGGATGAGTGTCCAGTCAAACAGCTGAGGCCCACAGTGAAGCACTGTATTTGCATATAATACCCACTTCAGCTAAATTTGCCGGCACTCCAGGCTAGTGGAGCTCACTGAGGAGAGAATGAAGAGTCAGAAACTTGACCTTAGTTGTTTGTCTTCTTATTCTTACTTAAGACTGAATGTTAGCTGACAAGTTTTGCACTTTAAAAATGAATGCAGACACAGGAGGTTGGCTAACCTTTGAAATAATGAAGGGTAAGAGGAATATACTGAAACTTTTTTCTTGAAGTTTCCATATTTCTTTTTTTTCCTAGCTGGGGATTTCATATTTATGTTTATATTTATATAGTCAAATTACAGAATACATTCTCATGTATTAACCTGGGTTTTTTCTAAAAGCAGAACCTGAGAAAAGGACTTGTGTTCCTCCAGGATAGTTTATTTGGGAGGTGCCCCCAGACAGGAGAAGTGAGGGAGCAGGGACAGAATAAGCCAGTATTAGGGTTGGGTTATCAAGGTAGATGTTGTGGAGCATTTATCAGCTGGCTCCTGTATTCCATTGATTGATGATTACCCATGGAAACATGAACGCTGCACTTCCAAGCTTTCTCTCTGTGTGGACTGAGCAAGTTCTTATGATGTCAGAGGAGTTCTAGGGCAGTCAACACTGAGGTGAGTCTGAGCTTGCACAGAATTGTTCACTGCAGCTGAAATCAGGCTTGGACTAAGAGAATGTGATGTGGGGGTACCAGAGGCATTCGACACCCTCCAGTCCTTCCTTGTACCACTCAAATCTGCTTATGCTCCACATTAAGTCAAATCATTACCACGTCTTCAAAGTGGTGGGTTGCAATCTCTACTAAAGACCTAGGATGCAAAGATTAGTTTAAAAAGAGAGATAGTCTCCACTGCTACAACTGGTTCTGAAGCTGTAATGAATATTCATCATCTCACTCCACCACCCTTTCTAGATTTCCCTCACCCTCAGGCAGCACTCAGACTGGTCTAGACTGCTTTCCTGGTGAGACCACATCTTTGAGGGATCTGAGTCCTTAATTGTCTTTTGTCACATTATCACCAGACAGGGAAGTACAAAGAGGTGCCCTAGTGAATGGTCTTGGTTTTAGACACAGACCTCCCTCTCTCCATGTGTAGCAGCAACTTTATCTCCTTAGCATAATTGAGGTCAGTTTCTTCTGTGAGAGTAGTAATTCCCTTCTTTGCTGGTCTACCAGCATGAGGAGCCCAAAAAGACTAGGTGGCAGTTGTAGCTTCAGTTTCAGTAGAAACTTCACTGTGTCACCCACTGGAAGCATCCCCTGGTCCTATGGGAACCAGGACCTCTAATCCAGCAGAGCCTAGGGTTTCAGGTAAAGGAAGCACGCATTCCTCAAGTGGTTCATTAGAAGTAATTGAGAGAAAGTTCAATCCTATTTCAACCCCTTTGTTCCCAGATCCATGTATTCTAGCTAGTGGGGACATAACACCATATATGGGCCATTAGATTAGATAGATTGGATACATATAATGCACTGGATACATATAGTGCAGGACCCCAACCTCACAAGGTGTCATCCCTAAAATAGCACCTTAGCTGCTTCCAGATATATGATAATATCAAAGAATCTCTTATTCATGGCCCATCATTAGATTTCTTTGCCGTAAAGTAGGTCTTGTGTTCAGAGGTGATGTTATGAGAGAGCCCATGTTGGTATAGCAGGCGTTTTGTAAAACCTCTGATGGTGCTTCTGACATAGGTACTGCAGGCAGGAAAGGCAAAGAAAATAGGTGTCAATTTCAGGAAGCATAAATTGCTGCCCTCTCCCCTTGAGAGACGGTATCATATTAAGGGCTCAGCATTATTCTCTGCTCCTGGCAATCAAGACATTGAGCGGTGGCAGTAGTTAGATCAGCCTTGGTACAAGTAGGATCTCCATCTTTTCAACCATAGCTATACCATTCATGGGTATATTGAGTAAGCAGTTGAGTGGCAGAAGAAAGAGGCAGGTTGACTGATAAGGTAAATCATCCTGTCCACCTGATTGTTGAGAGCATTCCTTGCAGTAGATGCTCTCTGCTGGGCAGAGAACCAGAATATGAACTGAGCTAATAACTACTGCAGTTTTGTGGTTGAATTCTCCAGGAACTTTCATCAGCTGAAGTATTGGTGGAAAAGTTGGATTCATGCAAATTGGGAATTTGTCCATCAGATGAATGGGGGCAAGAGAGGTAAGCGTGGTTGAAGATAAACCATGGAGTATCAGGTAGTTAGGGAAGAAAGTGGAAGCAAAAGAAATAGTTGGTTGAGGGACTAGATTCCCTATGAGGTTGAAAAATAAGTGTAGTGGGAGTAAAAGGGATAACTGGAAGGGTAGAATGTTGTGGCTAGAGGGTAGATTCTAAATTTCACATTTCGGAGGACAAGCACTTAGAGGTGGGATGACCAAGTTCAAGTGTGAGCATGGGAGGGGTGGATAAAGTGGTGAGTAGGTGAAGAAAATGGAATTATGAGTGTAGTTCTGATCATATTTTAAAACAAATATAGGATCACCTATACGCAGGACATCTTTGTGGAGGTAGCCACTGTGACACTTACTTGTCATGGTAAAAGATAATCTTCCTTTTCCTTGCTCAAAGAAGAGAAATAGGCACAGATTATAATTTTTTACTCAGCAACCTGAAGCAGAAAAGAGTTCATGTATTTACTGACAGAATTGCAGAACTAAATGGTGGTACCATTGGAAACTTATAATTAAAGCCAGAAATAGGGAGAAGAGGCCATTAAAACTTAAATTAGGAATTTACCTGCCAAAATGTTGTGTAAGCATTAGGGGCTTCCATTGGTTATTTCATTTGTTATTGTTGTTATTGTGTGCAGTCAAGTTGATTTCAACTCATAGCAACCCTATATGATAGAGTAGAACTTCCCCTTAGGGTTTCCTAGGC